TCAATAGATAGTTTATTTATCAAATTAAACTTGAGTGAGTCATTATGTAAATATCAATATTTTTGTATTACATATTTGAATATTCAAAACTTATTGTGATTAAAATATATTACCAAATCTTTTTAACAAGTGGATGTTTGAAAGTATGAGAATACATCAATGGCAGTATGTTTTGCTCCAAATAAAATACTTTACAATTACATACAAATTGGCTTAGTGTTTTCATTGGCTCGGGGGAACTCTAAGGGTGGGGATTCGATTCGGGTACTTGGAACATATTAACTTCTTTCCAGAAGGGCTTTTAAAAATTTCCCTTGCTTACTATAAAAGGAAAGTCTACCAGGGGTGGGTGGGCGGGAACACTTAGGAGAGTGGATAGCACGCGCGACTCGGACCCAGCAAGACTTGGGTTCGAAACCTGGCGCTTCTAGGTCCCAGCAAATTACCTTTTACAAAAAAATACCAAATGAGTAATTTAAACCGAGATAAGAAGGCCCTATACGACTAGGTGAAAGCAAGCAGAGTCCGTGGCGCAATAGGTAAGACGGCAGAGCATTGAGTAGGAGGTAAAGGGTTCGAGGTGACCAGGGGGGAAAAATTTCTTTTGCAAGTTTTGAACGAAGTAAAGCATTTGTACGTTTATTATTGTCAAAATGAATTATTTACAGCATTTAATTTTTTACAAAAAAATAATGAAAATGTAACATTTTGTGATCTAAATTAATAAACATTAAATTTTAACAGAAAAAAGTATATATCTGTAAACATGATCGAAGATTTTATGCATTTTGAACATTGTTACATTGTATAAGCATTATGAAAAAATAAATTCAAGATCGTAACATTTGAAAGACTTTGACAAGAACTGATAAGAGACAAAATGGATTTTTTTAATAAATTGTACTTGGCAACTATTTGTCAAAGTTGACATTAGTGCCCTGTTTGTATCGTATTCCATCAAAATATTTCCGTCCCAATTTAGAGGTTGTAACAATTTTAAAAATGCAAATAATCTGCTGAAAGCGTCATTAATGCACTAACGCACACGAGCATGTAAACATACCTTGTCCTATGTCGTCTCGTTGATGTTTGTATACTAAATCGAACAGTAGCCAAAATTTCTTCATGTTTGTAAGATTTCTGGTTGTTTTGCTAATTAATATTTTTTTTAAATTTTGTTTCCTTTGCACTAAATCCGAAACAAATATTATACATGGTGTAAATGTGGATGAAAATGCACACTTGAAAAGCATGGGAATCAGGAGCGACATAAAGACATGACCGGTTTACAAGATTATCCAAGTCTTTGCCAACAGAATAATATACACACAAAACTGAAAAGGTTACGCAAAAATCAGTACACTTGAAGTGGCTTTTCATATTCCCTGAAAATTAACTCTGGTTCTCAGTGATGACACAAAGCACAAATAACACAACATGGGCATGCAGGACTGATATCTAACCAAGCCTGTCCTTCTCAATCACACCTTGTTCCCAAAAAAGATTAAATGTATAAGAATTCAGAACAACTTTTTTTAGAATGCTCCTCTGCACATTTAATGCATGTTTTTCACTTTAAAGATTCAAACCAAACGAAGTATTAAGGTTTACATACACTTTGGTAGAATATCGAATTAGTCATTTAGAGGAACAAAATACTTTGAAATAACATTTTAGATGATAATAATTCCGTAAAATTCTTAAACAACTGACCAAACTGTTAGAATGGATTTTAGTGTAACAAATGAAATAATGAATGATTTAATCTAATTTTAAAATATATATAGATTTTGTTTAAGAATTATTAATTTTTCACTATCTTTTTGAGAAAAAAATTGACAAAAGTTGACGGTGTAAAAATTCATCGAATCCTTTCAGAATACTCATTACCTCCCGAAAATTGGGCTTTGCGACAGCTCAATATAAAATGCAAAGGCTATGATTAATGTCAGTCCCACAGAAACATTTTAATGGACAAACGATATCTAAATGAAGTCCATCCCCCATTTTTGTTTTTCGAAACTTCTCTAATGTAATACAAGTCCTAAACAGTATATGAATGATCACAATCCTGGGAAATTTTTGTGGCCAAGTATAGTAACAATTTTCTTATACGCAACAAAGATTTACATTCTAGTACTACAATATTTTAATAATTAAAAATTAATTCTTATTTCGGATGGCAATCTTTACCCCACCCCATGGCTTAACTTTGTTCCAGAAAACAGATATTTGAGCCCCGTCCAGCACTAAAAACACCGAGAACCAGAGGAAATTTATTCACAGCCACAGTGCCATACTCATAATTGTTAAAAGATCGTCATAGTACAAGTGGACAATTCTGCAGAAACGTGGGCACATTTTGCCCGTTACATAATGTTTGGATTTCTAAGGCGTAATACGTTTTATAAACAGTGTCTTTTGTAGATTTACATCTCTTACTTTTTTTCGAATGAGCACACGATAAATGTAATTAAAAGTTTCCTTTATGCATTTTACCTAATGTGGTTGCAATGTCTTTCCTTCCGAGAAGTCAACATCATTCAAAATGAATAAGAGTAGATCTTCAATACTAAGAGAGATGTTTGCAGATTTGCCCACACATATTTTCAGTGACGAATAGAAATCATTTCTCTTTTTGGAAATTAATATATGATAATCATAAAACAATCACATTATCATTTTATACAGACATTATTTCTGTGAAATGAGAACTTCAAAGCTAACGTTTCAGGTTCGAAAAGGGAAGGGTATCAACCCCGACCCAAAAGAATACATAAATTACCACCATGATCGGATAGAGCACTGTACTACGGAGTAACATACAATTAGCAAAAGAAGCAAACCAGCATCATGCAGGGCGGACGTTTAGTATGGGTTTAATTTCTATGAGAAGTTTAATAAATAAAAAGCTTATTTTATTCCTCTTTTCATTTGATATACGTTTTGGAGCAGAATGTTACAACCAAAAGCAAACATAACATTCCGTACTAAATGTCGTCCCTGCAAATTGACAAGAAGACAAACGTCGACATAGGAGACAATCTTGGCATAGGTGTGGGGCTGTATGTGTCGAACACAAAGTAGGACGCTTCTGGTATCTTCGTAAACGGTACTTAGAGGTACTGGAATTAAATGAATAAATTCACATTCATGAAACAATGTCTAAAGCTGTGATAAAGCATTACGTGTTCATTACAGCAATTCGTGTGTGTCCTTTGCGTCATTATTAACAAATTACAATTAAGCTTTAGAATTATACAAATATATATATTCATATTTAACCCTAATGGAAAGCTAATGGTATCAGAAACAAAAGGGTGCCCAAAAGACAATGAGGGAAAGCTAAGAGAAAGTATCCTTCCCGTCAATTATATATCCCCATGATTATTATGCTTCGAGTGCACCATTTCGGGGAAAATATCGTCATTGCAAAACTAAGAGATGCTACAATACATTTTCTATCATCTGTACTGGACTTACGAGACATTCTGCCGGTTTTAGTGCCATCTTTTGGGCCTACATGTGGCAGTAATATGGCACGGGACATCCTTCTTCTCCATCTTCTACTGACCTTGGTCCTGTCTGAGCACCTCTCACCAAAACGCTCACCTGATTTACATCATAATGAAGAGGTCACCTACTTTCCGCGCGGACGCTTCGGTTTGAATTATAACTTCTGGTTTATGAGAAGGCACAATAAATCTCCATCTCAAAAAGAGGATAAGGGGTTGATAAAGTCATAATGACACACACACACACACACACACACACACACACACACACACCAAAAATAGATAAATAGATATAAAAACGCATTTTCAAAGTCAACATAATTGATTGCATGATTGGGCATATTAATCAGCTTTTATAGGTCGAATGAACGAACTGGGGCGGGATTGTGATAGAAAAGACAGGTTTTTCATTTAACCTTACGGTACAGCGTGACCCCAAGGTTATTAATATTTTTTACTATCATTCTGTCAATCTTTCTGTCTTTCTTTATACTCCTTGGAACATAGAGAGAGACTTTTAAAGGAAAACGTTTAAGTTTCACACGTTTATCAAATTGTCTTGTATGTTACATCCATATATAGGTAATTCCGGTCACCCCTTCCTCGATACATTCTTTCCTACCGCAAAAACGTTAACATGCATACATTAACTAGTGTTTTCGGTAGGGTAGAGTGAAAGTGCATGCTAAATATTGCGGCCAATTTCACCGACATTTTAACGACAATTGGATGATTGAATCTTTTTATTATTATTATTTTTATCTATTATAATGCATCCGCTACTGTTTAACTCTGACAATACTTTGACGACAGTATAACGGCGAATGCAGTTCGTCTCAACACGTTAGTAAATTTCCTCACGGAGCTATGAACGACAGGATCAAAACCTTCATTCTACGCCTTGTCATCCATCTCTTTGCATTACACAACTAGAGACGGTTAAACTACCGGTTGGTCTGCACATGTAAACTAGAAACGTGACCGAAAACTGACTGACTCATCTCCCTCGAAAACTTCCAAAGTGAATTAAAAACTTTGTTACTTTTAAATATGGACACCTTTTTTATCTTAAAATAGCATTTTATTTGCATTTACACCTTTTCTTTTAAAAAATAAATTACTGATATATCTGAAGTTCCATCTTAACATTTTAAAATTCTATTGAACACTTTGAACTATTTCAGAGTGTAAATGAAAATTATTATTATTATTATTATTATTATTATTATTATTATTATTATTATTATAAGCTCCTCTTTGAAGGCGTGGAATAGGTGAACTTGAGGAAACTGCCAAACGTGATTGTGCCTTTTAATCAGAGAAATAATCTCGACAATTCACAAAATAATCTTATTTCTACAGTATAACTCATAACTAAAATATACATATCAGCCTTTGCAGTAAAATTAAAAGCAATATTTATATCATTTATCACAAAAGGTTTCTTTCCCTTAAAAATGATATTAAGTTTTAAAAACCTTGTCAATTCATTGTTAAAACAAGTTATTAGAACTATATATGTCATTTTGACATAGGGCTTTTTAACGATAAAATTAATTCAGCAGTTGCTCAATTCAACAGATAGGCGCACCAGTATACGGCATTAAAAATGGCAAAAGCAGATGTGAATATCACCCTGGAAGCTCTGTCCAAGTTATCGGCATTCCATTTGGATTCTAGCGGCGTAAAGTCCAAGGTTGGCATATCTACATGGTGTTTCTTGGAGGTGAGAGGGATGATTTCTGCACCTAGGATTGCCGTTGGAACTCCATTCACGTTCTTCTCACAGGCGCTACTCTGAAACTAATTTGGTAGAAAAAGGACATATAAATATAGGCCTACATGTACGTGCCACCATCAATATCAATATGCGAGACTTTAGTGTCTATTTGTGAACTTTCGGCTGGAACATCATCATGTAAGTAAAAGGAGGGCTTTCGTATCTGATATTTTAGACTGACTGGGCCTTTTATATGATAAGCTGTCTCTCGGATTGATTCAAGTTTAAAAAATGTAAATGATTTCTCAGTTTTGACTTAAAAGAGGACCGTTTGCCATTGGATGACGCACAAATCGCTTGCGCGCATGTACCCTGTACGTATGAATAGCATTTTTTAAAAGAGGCATGGAATTTACTCACGCAAGACCGTTCTTTCTGTGTTCGTTGCATATACTTTCATTTTTTTTAATATGTACTGTACTTACTGCCTTAAGGATGTTGGAATTAGGCTCGGGTCTCGCCGCCTTTTCTTTCTGTCTCGCTGTTCTCTGAAGTAACATGTTAGCCACTGCATACTCCAACATGGACGTCACGACAAATATGAGACACGTGGTCAGCCAGACATCGACAGCTTTTATGTACGAAACTCGGGGCAGCCTGTGCTGCATGTTGACCCCCTGCGTCGATATTGTGAGCACAGTGATGACCCCTATCGACACCCGGGCGGGCGTGGCACGGGGGTCTATCCAGAAGTTTATAAAAGAAATCAGGACGACGACTATTGTTGGGATGTAGATGTCGAGGATATAAAATTGAATGTCTCTTATGAGGCCAAATTCGGCGTAGATGCAAGTGTATTCTCCTGAAAATTAAAAGCTTATGATTTTTACTTAGCAGTCGCTTCTACTGACAGAGACGATAGACTTCCAATTGATACTAGATGTAAAAACTACTTTTTCATATAAATTGCCCACTTTGGAAAAATTACGCATCCCTTCAACTCCATTTGTCTCCATCTGGGCGTGTGTTGAAGCATTAGAATACGTTTTAATGAAGTATGGATAATATAAAATTAATAAGGCATGGATTGAAATTGGCAAAAGATATAAATTAGTTTCATAAATCGCTTTACACTTTTTTAATCAGAACAATGTACCTGTTACTGTTTTGCTCTTACAATACTTTGACGATCCCCTCTTTAGTGTAAATTCTGGCAGATAGAGATCGTGTGGTCGCTGGATTGGATCCGTACTCCATATAAAATTCAGTTCGTCAGTAGTGTACGCGTCTGGAAAAGAGAATTAAGCTAAAGTAAGCGCTTTTTATATGAAATTATTATTATCTAAGAACGATTGTCACTTAGGAAATATAATATCATGTCTTATCTTAATATTTACACTAAAGCATCAATTCTAGGAGGTTCATACTTGTGGCAAATTGTTTTATTTCAATACACTTTATAAAATTAGAAATTTTAAGAAAAGATTATCTACTAAGATATTTTGATGATAAACTGTAACACCTGCCACTTATAAAATAAAAGGGAAAATATATGTGATGGAATATTGGAACTCACAGCTGCGCATTTCTATTTTACACGTCTGGTTGTCCATGGGGAACTTTAAGAAGTCATACAGACAGGCCAGCTTCAGCTTGATCCTGTACTGGAAAAATGCCATTTTTTAAACTTACACAAATTCAATAGTATCTTTTTTCTGTTACTAGATACCTTACATGACAGGAGAGCAAGTGAAAGTGATACTCCTAAATGGTGGAAAAAAACGGGAGAACTTCATTTTATACATTTTAAAATTTAAAATCGTTACCTGGTGCATTTTGTAGTTCGCACGCATGCGTGCATGTCTGTTTGCAATGTTTGCGTTTGTGCGTGCGCGTTGTTCGCACCAATCCTATCATTTTAAGAAGTTTTAAAAAATATGAATGCACGACGTACCTCTGTGAATAAAGCACATCCCCGGACGGTGAGATTCTCACCAGCACGTTGGGGGTCGTAATATCGTGTCTCCATGCGTGTTTCTCGTTGGCAAAGAAAAGGTCGGGCACCCATATGTCTTTCAGGATCTTGTCAGACAGCGTGAACGCTGTCGTTCGGTTGAGGTTAAAAGTCTTGAATGCAAGACGCGGGTCGTTCCAATATTGGCGGAGGATGAGATCTACCGAGAAATCCTATATAAGAAATAAAAGTTTAAAATTTTATCCAAATACGAAACTTCTACGTTATACATGTAGTGGTGAGCGTGAGTTGGTAGGCTACATGCACATGTAGCTGTTATCTTCCTTTAAAAGTAATGCAGACTATTTGTAATTTTTCACTATTAGTCACGTTTTTTTTACTTTTTTTACNAAAAGAAAGCAAGCAGAGTCCGTGGCGCAATAGGTAAGACGGCAGAACAGTGAGTAGGAGGTAAAGGGTTCGAGTTGACCAGGGGTAAGAAATTCTTTTGCAAGTTTTGAACGAAGTAAAGCATTTGTACGTTTATTATTGTCAAAATGAATTATTTACAGCATTTAATTTTTTACAAAAAAATAATGAAAATGTAACATTTTGTGATCTAAATTAATAAACATTAAATTTTAACAGAATAAAGTATATATCTGTAAACATGATCGAAGATTTTATGCATTTTGAACATTGTTACATTGTATAAGCATTATGAAAAAATAAATTCAAGATCGTAACATTTGAAAGACTTTGACAAGAACTGATAAGAGACAATGGATTTTTTAAATAAATTGTACTTGGCAACTATTTGTCAAAGTTGACATTAGTGCCCTGTTTGCATCGTATTCCATCAAAATATTTCCGTCCCAATTTAGAGGTTGTAACAATTTAAAAAATGCAAATAATCTGCTGTAAGCGTCATTAATGCACTTACGCACACGAGCATGTAAACATACCTTGTCCTATGTCGTCTCGTTGATGTTTGCACACTAAATCGAACAGTAGCCAAAATTTCTTCATGTTTGTAAGATTTCTGGTTGTTTTGCTAATTGATATTTTTTTAAATTTTGTTTTCTTTGCACTAAATCCGAAACAAATATTATACATGGTGTAAATGTGGATGAAAATGCACACTTGAAAAGCATGGGAATCAGGAGCGACATAAAGACATGACCGGTTTACAAGATTATCCAAGTCTTAGCTAACAGAATAATATACAAACAAAACATAAAAGGTTACGCAAAAATCAGTACACTTGAAGTGGCTTTTCATATTCCCTGAAAATTAACTCTGGTTCTCAGTCATGACACAAAGCACAAATAACACAACATGGGCATGCAGGACTGATATCTAACCAAGCCTGTCTTTCTCAATCACACCTTGTTCCAAAAAAAGATTAAATGGAAAAGAATTCAGAACAACTTTTTTTTTAGAATGCTCCTCTGCACATTTAAGGCATGTTTTTCACTTTTAAGATTCAAACCAAACGAAGTATTAAGGTTTACATACACTTTGGTAGAATATCGAATTTGTCATTTAGAGGAACAAAATACTTTGAAATAACATTTTAGATGATAATAATTCCGTAAAATTCTTAAACAACTGACCTAACTGTTAGAATGGATTTTAGTATAACAGATGAAATAATGAATGTTTTAATCTAATTTTAAAATATGTATAGATTTTGTTTAAGAATTATTAATTTTTCACTATCTTTTTGAGTAAAAATTGACAAAAGTTGACGGTCTAAAAATTTATTGAATCCTTTCAGAACACTCGTTACCTCCCGAAAATTGGGCTTTAGGAGAGCTCAATATAGAATGCAAAGGCTATGATTAATGTCAGTCCTACAGAAACATTTTAATGGACAAACGATATCTAAATGAAGTCCATCTCCCATTTTTGTTTTTCGACATTTCTGTTTTGTAATGCAAGTCCTAAACGGTATATGAATGATCACAATCCTGGGAATTTTTTGTAGCCAAGTATAGAAACAATTTTCTTACACGCAACAAAGATCTATATTCTAGTACTGCAATATTTTAATAATTAAAAATTAATTCTTATTTCGAATGGCAATCTTTACCCCACCCCATGGTTTAACTTTGTTCCAGAAAACGGATATTTGATTACGCTCAGCACTGAAAACACTGAGAATCAGAGAAAGTTTATTCACAGCCACAGTGCCATATTCATAATTGTTAAAAGATCGTAAAAAGTACAGGTGGACAATTCTGCAGAAACGTGGGCACATTTTGCCCGTTACATAATGTTGGGATTTCTAAGGAGTAATACGTTTTACAACTGTGTCTTTTGTAGATTTACATATCTTCCTCTTTTTCGAATGAACATACAATAAATGTAATTAAAAGTTTTCAATATGCATTTTACCTTATGCGGTTGCAATGTCTTTCCTTCCGAGAAGTCAACATCATTCAAAATGAATAAGAGTACATCTTCAATACAAGTACTAAGAGAGGTGTCAATTTGCAGATTTGTCCACACATGTTTTCAGTGACGAATAGAAAACAATTTTAAAACAATCACATTATCATTGTATACAGACATTATTTCTGTAAAATCAGAACTTCAAAGCTAACGTTTCAGATTCGAAAAGGGAAGGATATCAACTCCGACCCAAAAGTATACATAAACTGCCCTCATAACACCATAATCAAATAGAGGACTGTACTACGACATAGTAACATACAATTAGCAAAAGAAACAAACCAGCAACATGCAGGGCGGACGTTTAGTATGGGTTTAATTTCTATGAGAGATTTAATAAATAAAAAAACTTATTTTATTCCTCTTTTAATTTGATATACGTTTTGGAGCAGAATGTTACAACCAAAAGCAAACATAACATTCCATACTAAAGGTCGTCCCTGCAAATTGACGAGAAGGCAAACGTCGACATAGGAGGCAATCTTGGCATGGGTGTGGGGCTGCATGTGTCGAACACGAACCGTGTCTCTGAGTAGGACGATTCTGGTATCTTCGTAAACGGTACTTAGAGTCACTGAAATTAAAGGAATAAATTCACATTCATGAAACAATGTCTAAAGCTGTGATAAAGCATTACGTGTTCATTACAGCAATTCGTGTCAGTATCCTTTGCGTCATTATTAACAAATCGCAATTAAGCTTTAGAATTATACAAATGTTTATTCATATTGAACCCTCACGGAAAGGTAGTGGTATCAGGAACAAAAGGGTGCCCAAAAGACACTGAGGGAACGCTAAGAGAAAGTATCTTTCACGTCAGTTATATGTCCCCATGGTCATTATGCCTCGAGTGCACCATTTCGAGAAAATATCGTCATTGCAAAACTAAGAGATGCTACAATACATTTTCTATCATCTGTACGGAACTTACGAGACATTCTGCCGGTTTTAGTGCCATCTTTTGGGCCTACATGTGGCAGTAGCAGTAATATGGCACGGGACATCCTTCTTCTCCATCTTCTACTGACCTTGGTCCTGTCTGAGCACCTCTCACCAAAACGCTCACCTGATTTACATCATAATGAAGAGGTCACCTACTTTCCGCGCGAACGCTTCGGTTTGAATTATAGCTTCTGGTTTATGAGAAGGCACAATAAATCTCCATCTCAAAAAGAGGATAAGGTGACACACTCACACACACACACACACACACACACACACCAAAAATAGATAAATAAATGTAAAAACGCATTTTCAAAGTCAACATAATTGATTGCGTGATTGGGCATATTAATCAGCTTTTATAGGTCGAATGAACGTACTGGGGCGGGATTGTGATAGAAAAGACAGGATTTTCATTTAATCATACGGTACAGCGTGACCCCAAGATTATTAATAATTTTTAATATCATTCTGTCAGTCTTTCTGTCTTTCTTTATAATTCTTGAAACATAGAGAGAGAGACTTTTAAAGGAAAACGTTTAAGTTTCACACGTTTATCAAACTGTCCTGTATGTTACATCCATAGGTAACTCCGGTCACCCCTTCCTCGATACACTCCTTCCTTCCTTCCTTCCGCAAAAACATTAACATGCGTACATTAACTAGTGCTTTCGGCAGGATAGAGTGAAAGTGCATGCTAAATATTACGGTCATTTTTACCGACATTTTACCGGCAATTGGATGATTAATTTTTTAAAATTTTTATCTATTATAATGCATCTGCTACTGTTTTACCCTGACAAAACTTTGACGACAGTATAACAGCGAATGCAGTTCGTCTCAACACGTTGGTAAATTGCCTCACGAAGATATAAACGACACGATCAAAACCTTCATTCTTTGCCTTGTCACACATCTCTTTGCATTACATAACAATTAAGAGCCGGTTAAACTTTCGGTTGGTCTGCACATGTAAACTAGAAATGCGACCGAAAACTGACTGACTTATCTCCCCTGAAAACTTCCAAAGAGAATGAAAAACCTTTCTTATTTTTAAACATGGACACCTTTTTATCCTCAAAAAAGCCTTTTATTTTCATTTACACCTTTTCTTTTAAAAAATAAATTACTGATATATCTGAAATTCCATCTTAACATTTGTAAAGTCTATTGAACACTTTGAACTATTTCAGAGTGTAAATGAAAATTATTATTATTATTATTATTATTATTATTATTATTATTATTATCAGCTCCTCTTTGAAGGCGTGGAATAGGTGAACTTGAGGAAACTGCCAAACTTGATTGTGCCTTTTAATCAGAGAAATAATCTCGACCATTCACAAAATAATCTTATTTCTACAGTATAACTCATAACTAAAATATACATATCAGCCCTTGCAGTAAAATTAAAAGCAATATTTATATCATTTATCACAAAAGGTTTCTTTCCCTTAAAAATGATATTAAGTTTTAAAAACCTTGTCAATCATTGTTAAAATAAGTTATTAGGACTATACAAATCAATTTTACAAAAGGGATTTTTTAACGATAAAATTGATTCAGCAGTTGTTCAATTCAACAGATAGGCGCACCAGTACACGGCATTAAAAATGGCAAAAGCAGATGTGAATATCACCCTGGAAGCTCTGTCCAAGTTATCGGCATTCCATTTGGATTCTAGCGGCGTAAAGTCCAAGGTTGGCATATCTACATGGTGTTTCTTGGAGGTGAGAGGGATGATTTCTGCACCTAGGATTGCCGTTGGAACTCCATTCACGTTCTTCTCACAGGCGCTACTCTGAAACTAATTTTGTAGAAAAAGGACATATAAATAAAAGCCTACATGTACGGCCCAGCACCAATATCAATGCCAGACGTTAGTGTCTATTTATGAACTCAGTTTTCGGCTGGAACATACCATGTATGTAAAAGAATGGTGTACACATCTGGTATTTCAAAGTGATTGGGCTTTTTATATGATCAGCTGTCTCTCCAATTGATTCAAATTTTAAAAAATGTAAATGATTTCTCAGTTTTGACTTAAAAGAAGGCTGTTTGCCATTGGCTGACGAACAAATCGCTTGCGCGCATACCCGGTACATATAAATAGCATTTTAAGAAGCATGGAATTTACACACGTACGACCGTTCTTTCAGTGTCCGTTGCACATACTTTCATTTTTTAAAATATTTACTGTACTTACTGCCTTAAGGATGTTGGAATTAGGCTCGGGTCTCGCCGCTTTTTCTTTCTGTCTCGCTGTTCTCTGAAGTAACATGTTAGCCACTGCATACTCCAACATGGACGTCACGACAAATATGAGACACGTGGTCAGCCAGACATCGACAGCTTTTATGTACGAAACTCGGGGCAGCCTGTGTTGCATGTTGACCCCCTGCGTCGATATTGTGAGCACAGTGATGACCCCTATCGACACGCGGGCGGGCGTGGCACGGGGGTCTATCCAAAAGTTTATAAAGGAAATCAGGACGACGACTATTGTTGGGATGTAGATGTCGAGGATATAAAATTGAATGTCTCTGATGAGGCCAAATTCGGCGTAGATGCAAGTGTATTCTCCTGTAATTAAGAAAATTAAAAGCTTATGATTTTTACTTAGCAGTCGCTTCCACTGACAGAGGCGATAGACTTCCATTTGATACTAGATGTAAAAACTACTTTTTTTCATATAAATTGCCCACTTTGGAAAAATTATGCATCCCTTCAACTCCATTTATCTCCAACTGGGCGTGTGTTAAGTATTAGAATACGTTTATAATAAAGTATGGATTATATAAAAATAGTAAGGCATGGATTGAAATTGGCAAAAGATATAAATTAGTTTCATAAATCGCTTTACAACTTTTTTATCCAGAACAATGTACCTGTTACTGTTTTGCTCTGACAATACTTTGACGATCCCCTCTTTAGTGAAAATTCTGGCAGATAGAGGTCGTGCGGTCGCTGGATTGGATCCGTACTCCATATAAAATTCAGTTCGTCAGTAGTGTACGCGTCTGGAAAAGAGAATTAAGCTAAAGTAAGCGCTTTTTATATGAAATTATTATTATCTAAGAACGATTCTCACTTAGGAAATATAATATCATGTCTTATCTTAATATTTACACTAAAGCATCAATTCTACGAGGTTCATACTTGTGGCAAATTGTTTTATTTCAATACACTTTATAAAATTAGAAATTTTAAGAAACGATTATCTACTAAGATATTTTGATGATAAACTGTAACACCTGCCACTTCTAAAATAAAAGGGAAAATATATGTGATGGAATATTGGAACTCACAGCTGCGCATTTCTATTTTACACGTCTGGTTGTCCATGGGGAACTTTAAGAAGTCATACAGACAGGCCAGCTTCAGCTTGATCCTGTACTGGAAAATGCCATTTTTTAAACTTACACAAATTCAATAGTATCTTTTTTCTGTTACTAGATACCTAACATGATAGGAGAGCAAGTGAAAGTGATACTCCTAAATGGTGCAAAAAAAAAAAAAAAAAAAAAAAAACCGGGAGAACTTCATTCATTTTATACATTTAAAAATTTAAAATCGTTACAAGGTGCATTTTGTGGTTCCCACGCGTGCGTGCATGTATGTTTGCAATGCGCGTTGTTTGCGTGCGCGTTGTTCCTATCAGTCCAATCATTTTATTTAGTTTTAAAAAATATGAGTGCATGACGTACCTTTGTGAATAAAGCACATCTCCGGACGGTGATATTCGCACCAGGACGTTGGGGGTCGTAATATCGTGTCTCCACGCGTGTTTCTCGTTGGCAAAGAAAAGGTCGGGCACCCATATGTCTTTCAGGATCTTGTCAGACAGCGTGAACGCTGTCGTTCGGTTGAGGTTAAAAGTCTTAAATGCAAGACGCGGGTCGTTCCAATATTGGCGGAGGATGAGATCTACCGAGAAATCCTATATAAGAAATAAAAGTTTAAAATTTTATCCAAATACGAAACTTCTACGTTATACATGTAGTGGTGAGCGTGAGTTGGTAGGCTACATGCACATGTAGCTGTTATCTTCCTTTAAAAGTAATGCAGACTATTTGTAATTTTTCACTATTAGTCACGTTTTTTTTTTACTTTTCTGTTCTGTAAAGGAAGATATATATATTTAACTCGACTTCTGCATGTTCAGTCACGATGTATGGTTTTGTTTGAAAAAAGGGAACTTTAGGGGTAAATAATGTGCATTATAATGGCATTACCATGGCCGCTTCGTTGAATTCACCAAATGCATTTAACATTATCTGCACTGTCACGTTTGTTGGCTTTCCTAAAAAATAATACAAATGAGGCTATAATACTGCAAAGCATGGTGTAACAAGCACATGCCTGCAAGATAAAATTCGCAACACTAACATAATTTACTTTCTTTTAGAAAGTTTGCTATAGTTGCTTATTGTGTCTAGTTATTACCGTGAGACTTATTATGGTATTAAACTAGAACAGGTGCTTTGAATGGTAAAGACATTAAATATTACGTGATAAAAGATAACTTGCAGAGGCAGAGTTAAACAAATTGTTGGCAAGCAATACGCTAATTTAAAACTCTCAAATAGCTTTTTGATACCTTCTCTCTCTCTCTCTCTCTCTCTCTCTCTCTCTC